CATAGTGACCCCTCCTTGGGTTTCCGAGGCAGTATAGCAGGGATTGTGGGGCTGGCGCGGGATCGGGCAGTGTTTCGTTCTGCTGTGCATGGGGTCGCTATGAGTTGGAAACGACTCAATGGCACTTAACAACAACAACATCACTACGGAAGTAGATTGCCCAACCTTCCTTAGATTGCCCAACCTTCCTTCCGAGGAGTGGCTGGTGGGTTTGAACCGTCAGCCTTCTGGTTAGCAGTCAAGTGCCTTAGCCACTATGCTATCAGAGCTTCCAATTATTGTCTAGAACCTCCTTTCTACTCACTACCTAAAACCAAAAACCCACACCAATTTTTGCAGAGTCAATTCCACGTGTAGCTGAGTAGAGCTGCGCTCCACAGGGTTGTCAGGGGCAATGAGCTTCCAGAAGTAGGTCATCAGGCCTTTCTTCTGAGCACATCTGTTGTTGTTGTTGTTGTTATGTGCTGTCAAGTCAGACCTGACTGATAGTGACCCCTCCTTGGGTTTCCGAGGCAGTATCACTACAGAAGTAGATTGTCCGACCACTGCTAGATGGATTCAAACCTCCGACCTTTGGGTTAGCAGCATGCACGTTAACCATTTGCACCACTCAGGGACAATTCTACCCAGAGTTTATAAATTCTGCCCACTGTAAGATGGAAAATTGGAATTCCTTTTTTTCCATTACCAGTAATGTTTTTGACAATAGCAAGTTGGAGAAAAAACATAAAGAAAAGTCAATAGGTAGGAACTTTATAACTGACCAGAAATTGGTAGCAAATTATACTTCATCTGAATATTTTATAATGCTATGTATGATACTAGAGTCATTTTCCAAAAAAAAAAGTAGGCATTATATTTCATAGTGAGATGAAAAAGTTGTGTTTAATTTACTAAATACAAGTGGACAGTTGATTATTCCTGAGACGCTGTTTTAGAAGACATTGTCTTGGCGAGAGAAACCAGCCTAGAATTTGTGGAATATTTCTTATAATTGTTAGTGCTGAAAACATATTGGGAGAAAACCATTCTTGTTGTTCCATCAGCCTGTATCTCTCTGCTCAACTCCAGGAGGAATTTAATTTTGTCTGACCCGCAGGGACAGGAAGGAGCCAGGTGGCAAGAGCGTTGAAACCGCTGGAGCTGGCCTTTCAGGAACACTAACAATGCTGTCTACAGAAAACTACTTGTAAATGGCTTTCAAAGCCCTAGAGTTTGTTTAGAGGAAGTCTTGCTGACATTGACAGATTTCTCCTCCTCTGACAGTTCACAGGAAAGGGTGTAGGGTAAAGAAGTAAATGATTCATTCAGAACATCTGATGGGCTCAAGTACTTCTGCTCTCATCTGCTGCTTGTGGCTGGGCACGAGCTGCCCCATCTGGGATGAGGTCATCTTGTTGGGGTGCACAAAGGATTCTGGGGGAATACCCATCTATACTGCAGCTATTCATAACATTCATTCCTCCTGGCCCCTCATGGGTAACAATGAACCTTCTCAGAATTACATGTGCTCACTGTGGAGCCAGGGTTTAGACTCCTTTCAATGGAACCCCCCTGAGGCACACAATGCATTTATTATAACCTCCTGGACCTAAGAAGGGCCTGGGAACAGCTTGGAGAGGCCAATAATTAAGCACATTTAATAATAAACACACAGACTTCTTAGGTACTGTGAGAAGTAGAAATAAACCCTTCATCTTCTCACTCTCCAAGTCCCACCCCCACCATCCTTCCCCCTTTTTACAAATAAGAAAAGCCAGGGGTTACACATTATAGTATTTGAAAAAAAAAAATGCAAAGGATGTCTGGTCAGTGGGGAAGGGGAAACTAAATTACTTGAGAACATTCTTTCCATGTGTTTTTTAAAAATGGCTTCTGCTTACTCAGGTAGGTAGTTAGTTATGCATGGTGACGATTTGTTAAAAGGCTGTTCCTTTAATCAGCCACTCTGGATTCAATGTCTAAAGGCTTCCGGGGCAGTGGTCCTCAGGCGTGGGCACCTCGAGGGGCCACGTGGACAGGCACCCTCAGCTCTCTGCAGGGTCCAGGAAGGAGAGGTCAGAAGTGCCCCCAGTCATACCCAGCTCCTTGGCCCTCACTTTTCTGCGCTTCTGAGTATAAGATGGGAGAGGAAGACTTCACTACAGAATGCGGTCAGTTTACAAGAACAGAAAGAGCACTGGGAGAAAAGAGAAAAAGGCAACAAGAACTCAATATCTAGGTTTTAAGTGTGATGTGGGGCGAGGGGCACAGCCCAAGCACAGCCCTAGCACAGCCACTAAAGCATTTGGAGTTTGAATTCCAGCTCTGTCTCCGCCTGTGCAAGCTGGGCTATTTGTTTGAATTTTGCAAAGTCTTAGTCTCTTTTTCTGTAAAATCAACATGCTAATTGACTTAAATAATTAAGTCAATCGCATAGTATCAGAGATCTTGGGAAAGTGACTTAGTTCTGAGTCTTGGTTTATCTATAAGGTCAAAAATACCTATTGTACGTGCACTGTTGTGAGGATGGAGTGGAAGATTGTGTGATGACACAGCTTATCACCTGGCTAGGAGCTCTGGTAGCATAGTGCCTAAGGCACTTGACTGCTAACCAGAAGGCTGGCGGTTCAAAACCACCAGCCACTCCTCGGAAGGAAGGTTGGGCTATCTACTTCTGTAGTGATACCACCTCGGAAACCCAAGGAGGGGTCGCTATGAGTAGGGTCTGACTCCACGACACAAAACAACAACAACAACAAGGAGTTCTGGTGGTGCAGTGGCTTAGCACTTATCTGCCAACCGAAAAGTTGGCTGTGTGAATCCACCCAACAGCTCTCCATGGGAGAGAGACCTGGTGATCTGCTCCTGTAAAGATTACATCCAAGAGAACCTTACGGTGCAATGCAACTCTGTCACATGGAGTTGCCATGAGCTGAAAATCAACTTGATGGCACCCAAGTTGACTGCTGTTGTTAATAATAATATTATTATCACTGTAGTTACATTTTTAAAGGTATTTAAACCAAGTGCTGTCAAGTTGATTTTGATTCACAGTGACCTTATGGGACAGAGTAGAACTGCCCCATAAGGTTTCCAAGGCTGCAATCTTTATGGAAGTTGACTGACTCGTCTTTCTCCCTTGAAGCGGCTGGTGGGTTCAAACTGCTGACCTTTCGGTTAGAAACTGAGCATTTAACCACTGTTCCACCAGGGCTTCTTTTAAAGATACTTCTTGTTGTTGCTGTTGTTGTTTTTATGTGCTGTCGAGTTGGATCCCACTCATAGAGACCCCTCCCCTTGGGTTTCCAAGGTGGTATCACTATGGAAGGAGCTCTGGTAGCATAGTACCTAAGGCACTTGACTGTTAACCAGAAGGCTGGTGGTTCAAACCTGCCAGCCACTCCTCGGAAAGAAGGCTAGGCAATCTACTTCTGTAGTGATACTGCCTCAGCAACCCAAGGAGGGTTGCTATGAGTCAGGTCCGACTCAATGGCACATAACAACAACAACATTAGTATGGAAGTAGATCAATCTACCTTCTGAGGAGTGGTTGGTGGGTTTGAACCACTAGCCTTCTGGTTAGCAGTCAAGTGCCTTACTGGATTGAAATTGCTTGCATCACTGGACAAGTCTATATGCATAGCAAGCATTGGCTAGAAAAACATGACAAGCCATGTGAACTCTCTGATAACACTACATTAGTAACTGATTGCTTTGATTATTTGATAGTTAATGATAGGGAGACGGGGTGGTGGGGCCAATGGGTGTTATTGTTTCTTCTGTCCTATAATTAATTAAAAAGACATTATGAATCTGTGCAATTTCAACACGTATGGGTGAATGAGGTAACATTACTCACAAGACTAGTTTTCCCAGCGCCTCATAAGAATGCACACACACACTGGTGCACCAGTCTGTCGACTTTGCCATCCATGACGAAGAAGAGCGTTTTATTACATGCTTAGAAGAGGTTGACTCCGCTGAAGCATTTGATTTTAAACAAAGTGACACTGAGTCTTTTGATAAATAAAAGACAGCCAATTGGGTGGGAATAAGGTATGCTGGGAAAGAAAAAGAATGAGGCTTGGAAAAAAATGTATTTTTGACAGCTAAGGAGTATCCAATTACCATTCAGTTCAAACATACTGTCTTGTTTTTACTTTGCACTAATTAATTTTTATGTCAATACTCTCAGTGACTATTTTTTTTTCTTGTAAGCAATTGTTGCTTTGAGTATTACATCATGGATACCAAAATGGAATAATGTAAACTTCTAGAAGATCTGGAAGAAGAAATAGGGAGACAAGACACCCGTTATCCTCCCACCCTGGCAGCATGGAGAACTGGCTTTTTATGAGAGGGAACCCAATCGATGGCAGTGGGTTTTGGTTTAAAAAGTCATGTGGGGAGGTAAACTAAGGATCCTTTGATTCCTTTTGGTTTTGGCCAAGAAAATGGAATTATCGAGAACACCCAACCTTTTATAAAATACTGCTGCTAGAAGGCTGTCAGAGGGTTAAATACCATATAGTCATTATTTTCTGAGCAGTACAGAGTGGGGGAGAAAATAAAAACAACTATCGGACAGGAGCAGTTTGGGGGAGGTTTGCACAGACTTGTATGTGAATGTTAAAATGTGGCCCCAAAGGCTTTATTTGATGGGGCCACTTCTGTTTTCCCAGATGACCAGTAAGCCAAAAGCAAGGTCTTTTCTGTGCCTGGGTTTCTAGAAACAGACCCAGCACCATAGTTCTTAAACTACCTTCCTTTAACCCTGACGTTTTATAGAATGCAGGTCAACCCACTTCCTCTACTGCCTTCGAAATCAAGGTTCCCCTCTGGCTGCTTTTCTGAATTCTGATTACTGAGCAAGTTAAGCTTTAGCTGACCCAGGAGTGGCAGAATCATCTGATAGTCGCTGCATGGGCCCAGTGTCCAGAGGTCTTCTTTCCTTCAGAGTGCTCTATTCATATCTTATTTCAGATACTGGGGTCACTGGGGGCAAGGAAGGGCACTTCTTAAACACTTGACAACATGGTGGAGGTGAAGATCTGTTGCAAAATCTGAGGGATGTCCTTGGTATCCATGGCAATGAAAGACCGGCCTGCTGGTAAAGTTCTCTGAAGCCTGCCAGGATGGAAAGGGAAAGAAAATTACCATTGCAAATTGAGGCTCCCCATCCTTGCCCTGCCCCTGCAAACCACAGGGTCCAAATGGTTTCTTAGGAAAGGAAGTTTTTACTTTCTAATACCTTGCTGGTTGCCTGCAATTCAATTGGCTGTCACTAGGCAATGAAAGCCTTGGAAGAACAACTGGGAGGGACGCAGTGAACTGAAAGAAGGATCTTTTCAGCCAATGTTGGTTAGTGTGAAAAGATTTTTCTCCCTTTTATGAATGTCATTTCCTGGTATTTTGTATTCTCTGGGCAGAACAGAGCCTCAGGGACCAATGTGGGATTAGCTCACCTGGGTCCAGTGAACGTGTTGGCCTCACACTGCACTTCTAAGCTCTTTTCCTTCCTTAGAAAAGAGGCTTTCAAAATCGTTGCCCGCCAAACCCCAAGTGGTTCTTGCTCTCTTAGTCTTTTTTTTCCACATTACGCAATGTGAAATGCAATCTGTATTATCCAATTGCTGCTTCTATGACACTGAGGTTAGATAGGCTTATGGTAATTTTTTAAATGTCAATTTATCCTTTTGAACAAAGGGCCATTTTTGAAGGCAATGAATCTACAAGACACAGTTCTATCTAAAAGAAGGCCTCCTTTCATTGTGCCAACAAAGTTTGGTTTTGAAATGACATTTAATAAAAGTCCACCATCCTGTGTCGTATCATACATTTGGCATGGCCAGTAGACCAGCTAATTCGGCAACGTATCTTCTGCCAGTGGATGTTGGACCATTTCCCTAGGAAACCACAAGGGTATTATTGTGCTTTCTTAAGTATTCAAACAGGATCTGTTCACTAGAAAGACAAAATAGTCATTTCAGCTCCACCAGCGTTCACTGAGCTTGGACTGAGCTGGTGTTGAGGATCTGGACACAGAAGGTTTGGTTTGAGTTTTCAAGGACACCAAGGTTCCAGAAGAGGCTAACATGTGAAACTGAGACAAATGTAGAGATTGTTTGCAAAAAAAGCTCCTGTAAGTACATGATAGGAAGTCTAGTCTCAACCTTACTCTGCAACCCTATAGCAAGTGGGAAGGCATAGTTAGCATTTTAGAGACTAAAGCTGGTCCTGGTCTGTTTATAGGACTAGACTTCAACTCGATGGCAGTCGGTCTACCACAGGGAGTGACAGGTAAAAGAGATGAAAAGGTTTCTGGTCCTCTGTGGTTCAGGCAGGGAACTTTTTTCAGAAGAGATAAGACTTTCACTTATGCTTTCTGATTCTCACAGGTATCTTAAGCAGAGAAAAACCATGAGCTCTTTGTTTGTAATCCCAAACGATAAACGTCAGTGAGTTTGAGCAAAGAAAGTATTTCCAGATCTCTCTTTTTAGGTCATCCACAGTGGTATTTATTGTCTGACCATAAATTTCTCCACTGAAGAGTATTTACAGTGTAGGTCTTGTAATATATACTCTCTTACATGGTCTCCAAGTGTTAAGTGTTTCACCTGGGTTAGCTGTGTCTCCCAAAAAGAAAGGACACACACACACACACACACACACACAATCTATTATTATAATAGTAGATGTTTGTTACTCGAGTATGATTTGAACATGAACTGATTAGAAATGAGTTTGGGAACTTGATATAAAGTACCAAGTATATAAAATACTATAATTTATTAGTGGACAAACCAACTTACTGTTCTATTACTGGTTTAAATATAAATGAAAAATAATTAATTTAAAATTATTACTGCTTGTCCAACTATAAGCTAGAACATCATATCCTTTCAACCTGAGGGAGTGACTAGGGTTTCTGTTTTACCTCCATTTCCCTAATGGCCCTCACCATGCCAAGCCCTTGAAATGTCATGTCAGGTACTCAAGTATCTGTATTCTATCACATTCTGAAATGACACTTACCTGGTTGCTTGATCACCTAAGGATCCAATAAAAATGGCAAAAGCATTGACTTGCGGGTTGCTTGTCAGGATCTGGGCAAACTTCTCAGGATGTATTCCATATCGTGACAGGTTTGCATCACTCAAGACTATGACAAAGTACTCGTCGGCTTCTTCTTTAGCAATTTCCTGGATGGCGTGTTTTGTCCCCTCTAACGTATGGTCCCCACTCATGCAGAACTGAGCATGGGCGTACATTGTCTGGGGGCAAGAGCACAAAAGTGTGTGCACAAAAGCCACAGCTGAGAAACTTCTTTTCAGGAAACATGACAATTTTTCTACTGACTATGAGAATGCACAAATACCAATGTCACACATGAATGAAAGTATCTGAGTGAGTTCTATTTAATTTGCACATCAGAGTGACAACAGCACCTGGTGATACTTGTATTTGGTATAGACTTTCATGAGAAACAGTTAGCATTTCTCAACTATCCCTGTTGGCACTTACTTTTCAATTTAAGCTGCCATTTAGTGTGAGAAAATATAAAACTTGGTATCACTAATGGAGGATGAAGATGGTACAGGAGGAAAATAAGGACTAAAGTTGAATTTCCAATAAACAGGACAATATTATTAAACATATTCACATCAATAGCAGTGGGGAAGATTTACTTAAATGATGGTGTGTTTGTTTCTGTTGCAGACCTAAGCCTAAGAAATTCAATTTATCATTGGAAAATACTGAGAAACACATAGAATTGGGGTTAGAGAATCCTCAAAGGAATCATTCTTTTTCTTCTTTTGAAATATCTATAGGCTGAAAAGAACTGTATAGGACATAACAAAAACAAACCCACTGCTATTGAGTTGATTCTGACTCATAGCGACCCCCATTGGGTTTCCAAGGCAGTAAGTCTTAATGGAAGTAGATTGCCCTGTCTTCCTTCTGTAGAATGGCTGGTAGGTTTTTGAACTGCCAACCTTCTGGTTAGCAGTCAAGTGCCTTAGGCACTACACCACCAGAGCTCCTTTATAGTACATAGGAGAGGACCCAAATTGTAGAATATGGATAACATATTGACTATCCAGAAAACATGTGGGGAACAAAGTTTACATTTTGTATAGGAGAGAGAAGGATTTTAGACATGAATGGCTGTTTTCTCATTTTAGGCATGATGGGAGCCTAAAGGTTTGCAAAACAGAAACTCCTGCATCTGCTGTTTCTTCAGTGAATCTTTTTAGTGCCTAGGAGATAATTTATCTAATCTGATAGATTTTTTCAGAATACAGAGATAATTGAGTGAATTTACCTTGAGAATTTCTAGTCTTTGTTTGTTGTCCTTGGGGATTTTGTTCATTGGAACCAGGTTAATGTTGTAGCCATCTCCAGAGTGTCCAACGATGTCATACTACAGGCAAGAGAATCAGAGTTAGATTCCCCTAAAGAACTGTCATGGGATCAATAAATCTCCAACCATCTGGGCTGTTTTTGCTCAAAGGTGCCCAACATATGACCATAGAGAAGTGCAGAGAGACAAATGTTTGCCTTATTACCAAGGCAAACACATTTTAGGTTCATTCACTTCTGATTCCTCCTCTTCTGTGACCTCTGCATTCCAGTAGAAGGTTGCAAGTGTGATGAGGGCTTCATGGGCTGCCAAAACTTCCATTCTTATCATTCAGTAGATATTTTCTATTTTATAAATTATATATCCATACATAGGGGTAGGCAGATTCCTGTCCCCTGGTGTACACCTTCTATATAATCCCCCCACCTTAGGTGTGAGCAAGCCCTGTAAATATGATAGGACATCACTCATGTGATTATTTACCTTATGGAGCAAAAACGATTTTGAAGATGTAAAGTTACTAATCAGTTGACTTTGGGTTATTCAAAAGGGAGATTATCTGGGTGAACCTAACCTAACCACATAAGCCCTTGGAAAGTAGGGAGAATTTTTCACGCTGGTAATAGAAAAGAAAGACAGATTTGAAGTGTGACAGGGCTTTAACATGAGAGAGGCTGCTCATGGCTGAGATGGAGTGGGCCATAGGGCAAGGACTTGAGAGTAGCCTCTAGGATCTGAGGTGACACCTGGCCAAGCCAACAAGGAAATAGGTATCTCAGTCCTACAACCACAAAAAACTGAATTCTGCCAACAACCTGGATAAGGCTGGAAGCAGATTTGCCCCCAGACCCTCAAGTAAGAACTTAGCTCAGCCAACATCCTGATTTTGACCTTGCAAGGCCCTAAGCAGGGCATACAATTGAGTCTGCCCAGGCTTTTGACCTACAGTACTATGCAGTGGCATCACCAGGGTTGGTGTCACCCAGTGCAGTAATCATGGTGTCACACCCCACCCCCACCATGGGCTTCCTCCTATACCAGACCACACAGAATCCTTAGCAACACTTATTATCAACTGTAATCATAGAATAATATGTGATAGAGTTGTAAATTACTTAAATGTAATATTTCTTATACTGTACAAATACTAACAAAATTGTTTTGTAAAATCTTTCTACACTGAAGTACATTATTAGTTACATTATTAGTAACTGAGCAGAAACCTTGTTTTGCTTTTTTTCCTTTTCCTTTAATCACTATTTCATTCTCAAAAGAGTTATTGATATTGGTTCATAGATACCAATTACCACAATATTGTAACTAAAACACCAGAAAATCTGACAAAATCAGACTATAAAAACACCAGGAGCAATGAAAACAACAGCACGTGCTTACAGCTCCTTCAGATGAAACCATGTGATGTGAAGCTTCCTTGTAATTGTGTAATAATGACAGCTCTGACCTAAGCATATTACTCACTGCTGTTGAGCCAGATCCAACTCGTAGTGACCCCTCCTTGGGTGTCCAAGGCAATATCACTGTGGAAGTAGATTGCCCAACCTTCCTTCGGAGGAGTGGCTGGTGGGTTTGAACCGCCAGACTTCTGGTTAGCAGTCAGATGCCTCAGGCACTATGCCACCAGAGCTCCCAACTCCAGGGATATCTCTGCTGGAGCACTGCACAGAAATTCTATAGCCAGTCGTTTTGGTCTTACTCCATCTGACAGTGTCACCCAGTGTGGTCTGCACCCCCCCATTCCCAGTGTTGCCAGTGGAACTATGAGCTAATTAATGGGGATTGTTTTAAGCTACTATGTTTGTGGTCATTTCTTATGTAGGAATAGACATCTCCAACTCTTTGGACTGTTTTTGGTCAGAGTTACTCAATATATAGCCAAAGAGAAGTGCAGACAGATGGAGGTATATTTCTTAACAAAGGCAAATAAATTTCAGGCTCATTCACTTCCCATCTATTCTCTTCTCCAATTAGGTGAAAAAAA